TCCACATTATGGAATACCACTCAGAAGAAGAATGCAATGTACCACTGACACACAACAGCATGGATGAATCTCTAATCGTTTGTGCTGAGTGAAAGAAGCCAGACTCAAAATATTACACTGATGTTATTTTTTATGAAATTCTGAAAGAGGTAAAACTATCTGACCAAATAGAACGTGGATTACAGGGAATGAGAATAGGGGATGACATTGAAGACAAGGGGGCACCAAAGAATTTGTGGATTGATTGTGTTGCTTGCTAGATGACTGTATGCATGTGCCAATAATCTGAGAATAACACTACAAATTATGTAATGTATACACTAAAATGCATAAAAACTGGGTCTCAAAAAAAAGTAAGTGAATGGATGGAAATTATTCAGTCACTACATGTGAATCCTGGAGTGGCAATATTAATATCAAATAGTCTTCACAACAAAATTATTACCAAATATTTTTATACAAATTACATGTTAATAATATTTTGGATATGTTAGATCAAATAAAATGTATTATTCACAAGAATTTTTTTTTCCTTTTACTAATGTAGATATTAGACAATTTAAGATCACATGTGTGGCTCATATTAAATTTCTATTAGATGATGCTGGAATAGTGTGTCTGAAGATAGATCCATATACTAGTGATCAATTGATTTATTTAACAGACAGTAATAGTAATTCAATAGGATAGCCTCATCTTTTCAACAAATGGTACTTGAAAAATTGAATATCCATATGGAAAAAAATAAACCTCCACCTTTATTTCACACTATGAACAAAAGTTAGCACAAATGGATCATAGACTTAATAAAACTCTTAGAGAAAACCATATTTAAAAATTCTTGCAACTTGGTGATAGCAAAGACTTCTTAGATATGACACAAAAAGCGTAAATCCCAAAACAAAACAAAAGATAAACTGGACTTCATCAAAATTTAAACATTTTGCTCTTTAAAAAACATAATTTAAAAAAAGGTTAAGCCACTAACTGGAAGAAAATATTCAAACTTTCTATATATAGTTTAAATATATATTATTTATATATATACTTAAAAAGATATACATATATATTTATATATTTATATCTAAATATAAAAACATAACCAAACAATTTTTTAATGGGAAAAATATTTGAACAGGTATTTTACAAAGTAGATATACAAATGACACATGAAAAGATGCTCAATGGTATTATTCATCAGGTAAATGCCAAATAAAACCCCAATAAGATAGCATTACACACCCGTTGAGTCACTAAAATCAAAAAGATCAATTAAAATTAATTTATTTAAATTAATTTAATAGATTTAAAAGACTAATTAAAATTGAAAAACAAGTTCGCCAACATGTGGAACAAATGAAAGCTCTGTTACATTTACTGTGAGAATACAAGATGACACAACCACTTTGAAAAATAGCTCAGCAAAATCTTTTAAGGTTAATTATATATTAACCATATGACCCAGAAATTCTACTTATTTACTCTAAAAATGAAAATATTTGTATACCTAAAGACTTGTACATGAACGTTTATAACAGCTCCACTTGTGTTACTGAAAGGATGGAGCAATTTTAGTGTCTTGTTAATAGGTGAAAGATAAGACAATTGATGGATATTCATATAATAAAATACCACTCAATCATAAAAAGAAGAAAATTCCTACTAAATGTAACAGTATGAACAAATCTCAAAAACATTATGCTGAGCAAGAAAGGCAAAACAGAAGACAGTAATACTATATATTAATATAAAACTCTAGAAAAGAGAAATCTAATAGATTTCTAGAAAATAGAAATCTAAATGTGCAACAGTTGTTGCCTGAATCTGAGGGCATTTGGGGAATTGACCAGGAAGAAGAAACAGATAATGTGGGGGGGGGGCTATGAACATGTTTTATATCTTAATTATAGTGGTGGTATATACAAATGTGTACATTTGCCAATACTCTTGTTATGGTTTGAATTGTGTCCCCACTAAATTCATATGTTTAAGTGTCCCAGTACTTCAGAAGGTGACCTCATAGGGAAATAGGGTCATTGCTGATGTAATTAGCTAATATGAGGTCCTGCTGGAGTCGGATGGGTCCCTAAACCTACATGACCAGTATCCTTATAAAAAAAGAGACATTTGGACACAGACCCACACACATGGAGAGTGCTGGGTGAAAATTACATTAATGCCACAAGCCAAGGAATGCATAAAATTGTCAGCAAATCAACTGACGGTAGGAGGAAGGCATGGAACAGAACCTTCCCTAGTACCTTCAGAGAGAGCGTGGCCCAGCCAACACGTTCATCTTGAATTTCTAGCCTCCAGAACTGTGAAACAATACATTTCTATTGTTTAAGCCACTTAGTCTGTGGAACTTCATTGCAGCAGCCCCAGGAAACTAATACAAGTCATCAGAATGAATAATTAAAAGCATACATCTTTTGTATTTAAATTATTCCTCAATACATTTGATTTAAAATGATTGAACATGGTTCATGAAAATCTGAAATAAAATCCACACAACCTCTAAGAAAATGCAATATACATATGGAATTATCATTTAGTTAGTGTTCAGCAAGTACTAGCTAATTTCAGCCATGTTCTATCATTTAATTTAATTCTGTTATCAACCCTATGAGGAAGTCATTATAATTCCCATATTACATATGAGCAAAATATGCTTAAGCAAAGTTTAATGAAACTTGAATGGCATTAGCCAACTAGAAAGAAGCAAAGCTGACTTGGAAACACAACATTTTTCACTAGAAATGCATTGTTATATCACAGTTTATGCCTAATTTTACATGATTATTAACAATATCTAATGTTATATATGTGGATATCTATATGCATTTTACATTTTTATCTTTAACAAGAAATTTTCTGTTATGTTTTTCACTTCAATACTTCTCCCAAAATTCCTACATTCTAAATACAACCACCAAGCATGTCATCATTCTTGCTTCCTGAAGTCCAATGGCTAAGTTTTAACTACTTTAATGTCTTCCAAAATATGGTTTTCTTATTCTTTGATGGTTTCTTTTTTACAGTAGTCTGTTCTTGTTTTATGGGTGTACTGTATTCCCTGAGGATATTGATGGTAAGATTTTAAGAGGTACTTTTCTCTAAAACATCTGCTTCTGGTGTCAGTTGATGTGATGCTTGCTTTTCTGTGCTTTTGTCTGACAGTTCATTTTGTCTGTTTTTGTATCTGTTTGAAGAACTGGATTGACTAAAGTGGTATCTCTTGTTGTCAACCTGTCACCTGGATAAGAGAGGTCTGACTTAAAGTTGTTTATGTGTATCATGGCATGTTAATTAGTCGGACTCATTTGAGGGTATGTGGGCAGGGTGAGGTTGAAGGGTAGAGTGAAATCCAGGAGTCCACCTGAATGAAAATCAGAAGGCAGATTCTTCAAGCACTTTGCTTTATGGTTGTGCCTAAAGAGAAGCCTTCTCCTCAACTGCACCCTTCTCTTGGGTGGGCTCTGAGCTGAGGCTCCATGTGTTCTGAATTGTCAATATGATTTCAACTGCCATCCACTTTCAGGATATCCATGCTTTTATGAGCACAATATTTTTATTTGTCTTTATCTCCCTTTTTATGAATTGGTGAAAGGGAAGTAATTCAGTGTATTTTCTTGAAAAAGTAGTTTATTAATTCCAAATCTACAGAACACAAACCCCATCCTTTCCTGGTGTTCCCTGAATCAATGTTCTTTTTAAAATTGTTTGTAGTCTACCTTTAAAGAAAGCTAAATTTCTACTCCTCTTCTACAGATCTTTCTACATCTAACAAATGTATGGCATATTCAAAGATTACAGAATTCTGTATAAGAGTATTTCTAAAGCTGATGTAAGGAGAGCTAATGAAATTATTCCCTGTCCCCATGGAAATGTCCAGCAGGAGTGATCCAATAGCAAGAGATGGGCTTTGGATTTAGAGAGACGGAAACATGAATCACGTTTCCCAAACTCAAGGCCTTAGACAGTGTAGATTAACCTTTTAGAATCTACATTCTAAGACATAAGAATGGGAAAATAATATTGTCTCACAAGTTTGTTGTGAGAAGCAAATGCATTAAACGTATAGCACTGTTTCTAAAATATTGTTGGTTCTCAATACATGTCATCCTCTCCTCCTGCTCTCAATCAATTTCAATTCATTGCTTATAGACATATTAATCATGTAAGAATCAAACTCCAGATCCCAGGAGTATTAAAGAACTTTATTATAAAGGGCTATAAAACTCAGTTTGTTATTAATACAGAATGTATCTCATACTTTGCTCCTGTGCTCCAAATCTGAATTCCTGAGTGCCTTTTGAGTATACTGGTATGTGTCACATCATAGTGTTATTCATGTTGGGCATCTGTTAGAGCACCAACAGTGCCTTTTAACCCTAAAGAAATTCTTTCAACCTTTGTCTGCTTCCCCGTTTACATGTCCAGACTCAATACAGCATGCCTTTGGCTTTTTGTTGCTGTTGTTTCTAGAGTATTCCTGTCATAAGGTATTTTGCATAGTGTTTATTTATGTAAGAAATTGTTCCCCTTCCAAGTTACTTCTGCTCATCCTTAAGTTCTTCTGAACTTTGTCAGTTCCTCAGGAAAGTCATCTTTACTCTTCCCCCAAGGTCAAGTCCCACTTTTCAATACTGCCATGGTACTATATAGACTTTCTTTATAGTAACAAAGCTCTATAATCTCCATTGTTTCCTGTATTTACTTATGTGATTATCTAATTAATAATGTTTACCTCACTAGAATCTAATTTCCTGAGGACATTTTTGTTTATAAACATATCTACAGTGATCAGCACAAACCTATAGCAGATTGTAGGAACTCAGTTTTTGGATGAATGAAAGCAGAAAGCTTCAGAAGGGGTTATTTGTTTTTCGTTATATTGTCCCTGACCATGCTGATCTCATATCATTTTGTAAAAAATTCTTATCTGTCTTAGCATAAGGACTCAATCAGGTTAGGCTTTTTAAAAGCATTTCCCTTTTCGATCCGCCATCTGTGGTGGAGTCGCCACCAAAATGCAGATTTTCGTGAAAACCCTTACGGGGAAGACCATCACCCTCGAGGTTGAACCCTCGAATACGATAGAAAATGTAAAGGCCAAGATCCAGGAGAAGGAAGGAATTCCTCCTGCTCTGCAAAGACTGATCTTTGCTGGCAAGCAACTGGAAGATGGACGTACTTTGTCTGACTACAATATTCAAAAGGAGTCTACTCTTCATCTTGTGTTGAGACTTCGTGGTGGTGCTAAGAAAAGGAAGAAGAAGTCTTACACCACTCCCAAGAAGAATAAGCACAAGAGAAAGAAGGTTATGCTGGCTGTCCTGAAATATTATAAGGTGGATGAGAAGGGCAAAATTAGTCGCCTTCGTCGAGAGTGCCCGTCTGATGAATGTGGTGCTGGGGTGTTTATGGCAAGCCACTTTGACAGACATTATTGTGACAAATGTTGTCTGACTTATTGCTTCAACAAGCCAGAAGACAAGTAACTGTATGAGTTAATAAAAGACACGAACTAAAAAAAAAAAAAAAAAAAAAAAAAAGCATTTCTATTTTTTTTTTGAGACTAGGTCTTGCTCTGTTGCCCAGACTGGAGTGCAGTGGTGCAATCACAGCTCACTGTAGCCTCAACTTCCTGGGCTCAGGTGGTCCTCCAACCTCAGCCACCCAAGTAGCTGGGACTAGAAGTAGGCAACACCATGCCTGGCTAATTTTTGTAGAGACGGGGTTTCATCATGCACAGACTGGTCTCAAACTCCTGAGCTTAAGTGATCTACTCACCTCAGCCCCACAAAGTGCTGGACCACAAGCCTGAGCCACCACACCCAGCCTCTAATGATATTTGTAATCTGTTTGTGCCTTTTAATTATGTATCTCTAATTTCTACTTCATCTTCTGTACATGTTTCTTTTTAAAACTGAGCTTATCAGATACAGTCATGTGTAGGCCCCTTTGCTTTTCATCTTCATCAGTATAGTGGTAAACACAATTGCCAATTCACTATTACTAGTAATCATTGGAAAATTAGTTTTCATAACTTAATGGTCCAGTGCAAGGATGTTTGCTTCCTAGCATTGTTTCACACTCTGGTAATTCTGTGCAAAGTGACATAAGGATTAGGGGATAAGAGGAAGTAGAGAATATCTAATTGTTAAGAGCAGTGTTCTAACGAGTTTGCCTGCCTTTTTAAAATCTCAAACTGATATAATTTCGACTTAATTACAACAAATTAATAAAAGAGGATCAGATTATTTCACTAAACTATTTCTTCAGCTCCTGAATATTGTGTGGTGCCAGGGTAGAAGTATCACCTCAGATAAGTTTTTTAAATCAACTCTAACAATGTAATTCTTTGTGCAATGAATTAGCTTAAAGTTCAAATCTGAAATTTGGTATGTCTGCAAAAACGATAGCTCTGTTTCTTTGCTTGGCTCACTATGCTCTTTAGAAGAGTTTACATTTCTTTAAAAACATTTTAGAATGGCTAGAGAACAGTCAAGATTTTAGAGTACAGTATTGAAAAGTGGACCCTGTAATATGCAAATTATCTAATATTAGTAATTTATTTTCAAAATACTATGCTTGAAATACATAATAATTTTTAATACGTGAAGAGCATTAAAGTAACACATGGTCTGGTAAACTTTAAATGCTAAAGTAATATTAATACTATTCTATAAGCATTGATCTGTTTTAAATCCACGTCTATCAATAAATTATTTTCACTAGCTATAGTACTTTATGTTTGTGTTGACATCACATTATAATGTGGAAAAAAATCATTTTCATAAAAAATTATGAATTGTTGGAATGTTCACTCAACAATACTGATATACCATTTGTAGAGTCCACGGACGTAAAAATCATTGAGATAATTGTGCTCTTGGGTAGAGAGATGAGTATTACCATTCACAAAGAGCTTATCTTTTAAAGAATATAATCAAACACAAATAATTAAAATGGCCAAATTAAAAGGATATCATATTAGCATTTAATTCTTACAAGGAGAATCACAGGAAAATTCATGGAGGATTTCACATTTACTTAAGTGCCAAAGGATCAATAGCATATGACAGATGAATAGTTTCCCCAAACTAAATAACAAAAATTATGATAATAATAGAAAATGGCATCCACTGACCACATGTGTTTATTATTCCTTTAAGTACATTACACATAATGTGTCAATTAATTCGTAGAGCAATCTCAAGGAGATATTATTTGTTCCATTTTACAGGTAAGGTAAATTGAAGCTAAATAACTTACCCGAGGCCACGCCTTGTGTCGAAGATAGGTAAACAATATGAACAAGACTATGGAAGTTCTCAAATGTTTTTACAAGGGTGTTTGGTTTTTCTTAAGCAATGGAAACTCACGGAAGAGTTAATTTCCAGGGTTCTGGTGCTGGGAAATACGAATGCATTAAAAAGGAATGGAGAAAGACACAAAGAAGAGGCTCCAGCTGAAGACATTACAATAGTAAGGGGAATTGATGATGGAGATCTAAACTAAGAGCAAATAGAAGAAAATCTTACACTGACAGAACTGATGGGGCGTCCCTGTTGTGCGAGGGGCAGTAAGGACCAGAAAAAGAGTCTATGTAAAGTCACGCTATTTAAGAAGGTGGTAATGTATCCTTTCAAAAAAATGTTCCCATAAAAATCTGCTTTTAAGTTTTGCAATCTTTAATGTATACATCATTGTTTTAATTACCAGTATTTTGAACCACTTAGCTATAAGCCAATACTTATTAAATGATCAAAAATGTTGATGTCTTTATAATTTGCACTCCAGAAGCTATTTATGTGAGCCCTTCTTCTTTTACTTTTGTATTATCCTCTCTCTTGCTTTCCTTGATCACTGCATGATATTTATCTCTTTTATTCCTCCTAAGCTCCTAATCATTTACCTTCTAAAAGTATTTGAAGTATTTATTGTTCTGTCAATTCTTTTATAATCACTTTGTATCTTTCAGATTTTTTCCTACTTTATAAATTCATCTCTTTTTATTCAAAATCTCCCTTGCTATGTCTCTAAATATGTGTTTCTCTTTCACATGCAAATACTGAAATAATTAGGTCGATTTTGTAGACATCTGGTATTAAGTATGTTATCATACTAACGTCAATAAACCAAATTTAGAAGACTTACAATAATTTTGTTCATTTATCTTAAAGTGATTTCTAAATCAAAATAAGCATGGAAAAGGAACTGAAAATAAAACTTTGAAACATGATTAATTTTAATATGTTTATGGGAAATAATAAATCCACCAGCAGAAAAAAAAATTACCAAAACTAACATTTTACAGATTTTAGTATCAAAGCATAATACATTTTTCATAGAAACAAATATATCACCATTATAGGCACCATGATACGGCAATATTTATACACAAGGTCATTTACCATTTAAAAAAAAAATCAGTGGCAATGGTGATTTAATACATTAGTTCATCTTTGTTCAACTTTTTGCTATTATACTTCCTGCCCTGCAGGAGTATTTGCCAGGATACAAAAGAAAATATGTGACCTTAATTTTAACAGTACATAGAAAGCTCTGGCTGCCCATGCTTAACCCTACGTTTACTACATGATCACTAGGAACGTTTTCATACCACTACTCTGACTTTATTACATTTATTTTTAAGGCCACTCCCAAGGAATCAAACATTTTAACAGATTCATTTGGATATTAAAGGATTATTTTATATAAAATAAGAAGTGCAATATCAGAACTTAATATTCTATATGCCTAAATTAACAGAAGAAAAAAAAACCTTAGTTATTAAGTGGAAAATTATTTGAGATTATTTGGAGTTGATAATGGCATAGCATTGAACTGAGGAAAATGTGATAGTTTCTTTCAGTTTTATAGTCGATTATTTTTAAATGTACTAGGTGATTTTCTGAGGGCCATTCACATTCAATGTTTAGATTCATTTTATTAGTGGCATATACAAAGCACCATATAATATATGAAATGTAGAACAATCATGACTATGTAATTAACTGTAGAAATAACTGCTAAGAAAATATAGCAATATTTAACACAGGATTTCTAAAACCATTATATTTTCATTACTTTTCCCAAAGCTAATGTCCCATGTTTTATTTTATAGACTTTGTTTATCAAGATTTATATGTATTTGGCACTTTTGGGGGCTGAAAATAGTTGATGTACTCTGTACAGTAATGTTACAGTTTTATACAAAATTCAGAAATACTGCATTTGGAATAGTCTTTACAATCCTCTTCCAAGTATTCCATTTCACACAACAGCAAATACTCTGAATGCCTTTCCTCCTGGAGGATTCTGTAAACTGCAAAAAAAAAAAAAAAAAAAATACACAAGGTATATTGTTATCTCTATACATAATCCTTCTTATAAATCATGCTTTCTTATGACAGTCAAGAAAACAGCTCTACGAATCCAGATGGTCAACTTTCTTAGGCTACTATAATTTATAGTTATTGGAAAGCTTGAACGAAAGAGCTTAACTCTTGGTTCCATGCTGGGCTGCAAGTACTAACAACATTTAAGATGTGTAATGGTAATAATAGTAGTCTCTACAGAACTTCATAGATTCTACATCATGTTTTCCTATATTATCTCCTTTCATTCTCATAAAGTAGAGTTTGGCAGCTGTTATTCAGTTTTAATGGGGAATACTGAGACTCAGATTTACAACTGATATGTATGGTTACAAGCTTAAAATACAGCTGATACTTAGGCAATACTCTAGAGCACTAGCTTATTATCATTGCCCACTAGCTTATCATCATTGCCCAAGTCTGACAAAATTTAAATTACATTGCTATCATACCGATTAATACTCTTAACATCTATAATTACAAGAAAAATATTAGTAAGGATATTTAATGGTCAAATCTGAAAGGACCTAAGAATATCTTCACTGAAATGAAAAAATACACACACACACAGACACACACACACACAGACACACACACACAGACACACATACAGACACACACACATACACACACACACAGACACACACACACAGACACACACAGACACACACACATACACACACACAGAGCATTCAATCTCATTTTGAAAGTACTTTTAAATAGAAGTTAAAAGTAATGCAGACTCATAAATTTTACTCTTTACTAAATTGGTTATATTTATTTAGCAACATAAATCAAGGTATGTTTTGTTTAAAAGTCTAAAAGTTAAAACAGATTGGTAGTACCATTAATCATTATTTATTCAAATCAACTGTAAGCTTTTGAAGCTTTTACATAAAGTTTTATTTCCTTAATAATTACAAAAGACTTTTGGAGATCAATAAAATAAATGCTAAGAAAGAGAAAGTGAAATATCTTTTATATATTTATTCATACAAGAAAAAAGGGAGAGAATTTTTGAGTGAGCAAAAATAAGGGTATCACAAGGGTGCACACACAACATATACACACATGTGCATGCATGCATGCCAGGTTTTTCACGCAAGTAGATGGCCAATCCAAATATTTTATTTATGAGAAACAGA